GGAGTTAGTGGAAAAGTATCATACTTTTTAGTATCCTTGTAATGTCATTAATGACCACACACATTTTGACTGTAATTTTTCTTTCATAATAGTATTGATTATTGGTGTGTTAATAAAGAAATACCAAGTACAAACAGTTTATATGGCCTTTATTATTTTAATTTGTGTTTTAATGCTTTTTAAATATAACAAGCATATCAGAATCGGCATCACTTGAAGTTGTAACTCCCCAGTTGACTACTATAAATATCTCTTAATATATTAAAAATAATCTGAGAAAATAATTTCGGTTGTGCCTCTGAATATCGACGCTACACAAATATTGGATTGGATTTTGAAAGTGGATCCCGCTTCTTGCTGGAATGTATTGTGTGTTTGTTGTGGAGGTAATCCAGTGAATAGTTTGAGGTATCAGTGGCAGATCCAGGAATTCGAAATAGAGATGTCCAGGGAGGGACTTTGACAGATGGAGAATCTAGACCAGGCCAACTATGGTTTTGGCTGAGGTTAGAAATTTTATGATTATGGCACCTTTAGATGCCTAGAAATGGCACTCTCAGAATTAAATTTAATATCGTTTTCATTTATTTCTTCATTTAAAAAAAATAATTTTGGAACATTTATGGAGGGAGTTTGCTGAATGCCAGATTGCCGAATCCACTTTGCCGAAACCCAGTTTCCCGAAAGTCAATTAAAAGCAGTAAAATATTAACAACAGCATAACATTCACGATGGAGCACTTTCTTACCATGACTGCATCTGTACTTAGTGGGGTGTCAGTTGAAAGTCAGGCCCAGGACTGGGCATAATTAAGACGACTTTGAGAATTTAGAAATCATTCCAACACAAGAACTTGTAAGTCCTTGAATCCAATGCGATGCGATCACTGTGTACGAGTATAATAAAAAAAATAGAGGCTTATTGTAATTTAATTATTCTTTTTGTCTTATTCTGAAAATCAACTGATTAACAATTCGGCTATCAGCAAACAAGTGTTTTTTAGGGCTTAGTGTCGCACATATTGTGCTATTTATTTATTTGTTTTTTTTTTATTGGCAATCAAAATAACGTTATTTTGATAGGAAAATTATTGAATTTGGTCCGACGATCTTTTTCGTGGCGTCGGACGACGGAGGGAGGGAGATACGATGCTTAATCCTTCATTTCATTTTATTTCGAATATTAACTATTATCCATGTCTTCAATGTGTGTTTTAATAAAGTATTGTTGTTTTCTAATATTTTGCCTTCATTTATACATAAATACGGTTCCTTCCTGACCCACCCATTATGTTTTCAAAAGCACAGTGTCCTGTACACCACGACGGTGACGGCAAAATTCTGCAACCTGGGTTCGGCAAACTGGGTTGTCATGATTTCTGTGAATTGGATTCGGCAAACTGGGCTTCAGCAAAGTGGGCATGGACTCGGCAAACTGGGTTTGGGCAAACTGGTTGGATACCGCGGCTTCACCCTTGAATCCGCAACTTGGTATACTGATGTCACAGCAATTAGCAGAAAGTGTGTGTGATCTTCAGCATATTCCGGACACAGTAGGCCTACAGTACATGGCAAGGGCAAGTACAGAATGAAAATTAACAGTGAGAAACGAAAACCAATGATAGTCAGCAAATTAAAGTAAACGCCAAAGGTGAATTTAAAAACGGATTGAAAACAAATCGAACAGTTAAAAAGATGGTTAGAGCTACGGTCACACCAAAGCCCCGATCCTGTCAGGTGCCCGGACAAAAAATCGTGAAAAATGGGTTCAGTGTTAAAGAATAGGACCGTTCATATCAAATTCGTACGATTTCCAATCCGGACTCCGGATCCAGCGATGGATCTGAGAGCAATTTGTATCATGAAATCGTACTATTATTTCATAGACCAGCTACAAGCTTGGTTGGTCGGAACGCAATGTAGGGCCTACTTGACCCCGAAAAAACGCAGTCACGATTTTTTGCCAGGGTTCCGCACCAGATCCGGGCTTAATGTCACCGTAGCTTATCTTGGATATCTAATCACAGAGGACAAGAGCCAGATTAAAATTCAGATTTATTGCTCCATCACATAAAACAATACAGTTGTAATACACACACAAAATTCATTTACCCCTACATACTGACTTCACTATTGTAGAGACTAATTGCACTTGAGGGAAAATAATGTTGTCTTAAGCCTTTCCATTATCAGTGGCGAAACCAAGAATTTGAAATAGAGGGTGGGGGCCAGGGAGGGAATTTGACAGATGGAGAGTCTATACTAGCTCAGTCTCATCATGGTTGTTGCTCATGAGGTAAGAACATTTACGATTAGGGTACCTGTAGATGGCACTCTTAGACTTAATATTTAAAAATAATTTTATTTTTTTCTCCATTTTTTTACAATTTTGAAAAAATTTACGTGGGCGGGGGGCCGGGTCGGCTGGCCCCCTTGAATCCGCCACTAATTATTATTTAATTAGGCCTATGTAACAGCTGGGTTTCATTTCTTCCATGCAATATACCGTAAAATGAAGCCACGCGAGCTTTGGATGGACTTTTTTTCTAGGCTACTTTTGCAAAGTAAAAATGGTGTCTTCGATTCGAGATGAATGGGACTGTTTCCGAGATTAAGCCCATTGGGCTTCTATTCGAGGTTTTACGGTAACTTAGTTAATATCAGCCAATGAAGAAGAAATAAAGAGAAAGGTTAATACTTTGTGAGGACATTTTGAAAGGATGGCAACAGATTGTTACCCTTGGTAACTGGGGAACCTTATTGTCGAGGGTTCGAAACACACTGATCATTCTCGGCCGACCATGATATAGTTATCCCATTGCATCACTGTTTACGGGCTGTGAAGTAGCTCTCGCTATATTTCAGCCCTGGGTCCGAGTATTTCGTGGCTATACATTAATCAAATACTTTGTGGCGGCCTCTCGCAAATGTTGATGGTAACATCAGACCTGATATATCAAGATTTAAAAAAAGGTAAAAGTAAACTAGTCTGCGTATGAACATGCCTGCACATAAGCGAATAATGACGTTAGTTGTATTTACACATGACTGAATACCGAAGCGTGACAAAACCGCAATATTTTTTAAAACCACAGCCGAATTTTTCAGCCATAAACAAACATCACAAGGATCAACGATATTTAGTAGTTTTATCATACGGTGAGAGATGGTGGCTTAATGAACAAATATCTGTCTTAAAATTGTGAAAATAAACATCATATAAATCAACATATGAATTATGTTGTTTGTAAAATATGTTTGCAGAAGTAGAAAAAAAAAAACCACAAACAATTATTGAAGTTGTTGAAAAAGTTGACGGTAAGTACGTTGCAACTATAACACGTTGAATTGACTTTGTGACAGGTTTGATTCAAAGTAAAAACTAACCAAAAATTCCTAATGATTGAAGTAATATCATTCAAACAATGATTAAATAGGAGGTTTATTACTCAAATTAATCAAGACTTTTTCCATGTATGTAGTTACTCCATTTTTGGAGTGTCTGCACCCGCCGCAGAACTCTGATCTTGGAGGTTTTGCGTATACGCAAGACCTCCAAGAACAGTTTCAAAACCTTATTCAAACATCCGATGGAGTTTTTGCGTACTATTAATTAAACAATTTTCAATTTTTCGCGTATAATACGCAGAAACTCCTAAATCGGAGGTTTGATTGAAAGTTTGAAAACTCCGATTTTTAAGTTTTCGCGTAAAGTATGCAGAAACTCTGAAATCGGAGGTTGGAATAAAAGTTTTTAAAACTCCGATTTTAAAGTTTTCTCGTAGTACGCAAAACCTCCGAAATCGGAGGGTTGATT